TAACACGAGTGCTTCGGCCAACAGGCAGACATTTTTGGTTTAGGTTTCAACTGTTTAGGTTTTCTTTTACTTTTAAAGCCCAATTCACTTATTTAAAAAATTACTTTAAATTTTACAGCGACACTGTATCTCACCCTCAGAGAAGACAGCTGGGAGGCATTAGCTGTCAGGCCATTCAGACGAGGACAGGCCTGGGTCAGGGCGGGCGGTTATTCCCTGTCCCAACTGACACCCATCTTTTGGCAAAAAAGGTGTTTTTTTTCAAGGGATTTAGATGGACAGTATGTAAATTGACCTCTCCTCCTGGTACACCCTATGGTGGACCAGAGTAACCGGGTACTCACTTCTGTGACCAAAGCCCCAACAAAGAGAACTGCACTCGGAAGGCAGCGGTACGCCGGCACCTGGGCCCCAGGCTGGGTTGCTGCACACGGCCCCCGGGGGCCCCCCCCCCGGGTCCAGCTCCGACCGCAGTTCTGACACCGGTCACTCACAGGTCGCCAGCACTGAATGAAAAGAAATCAGTGCCACCTCCCTCAGAGGGGAAGACGGCCGGCCCCCTGCCCCACCCCACCCACGCTCCTTCCCCGTGGGTGACGCTGGGTGACGGTTCTGCCGAAGCGGAGAGCAGAGGGTCTGGGGGAGGAGGAAGCAGCTCCTCCAGCTTCTAAGAAGACCTTTACAGGCAAGGGAAAGTGAAAACAGCAGAAAAGTTCCTGGACACAGTCCTTTAAGAAACAAAAATGAGTAGGAAGAAAGGTCAGAGCCACGGTTCCAAGGAATCCGAAGGCACAGCTGCTGCTGTCCAAGGTTGTGGGCCGGCGTGCGGGCTCCTGCCAAGCTGGGGGCAGCGCCGCGCGGGCGGCAGGGGCCGCGGCCACCCGGCCACTCGGAGGCATGGGCCCTCCCTCTGCCGATGGTCGCCTCCTGTCCGGGCCTGGGAACAGAGTCCCCCTGAGAAACGCTAGAACCGTGACAATCAGGAGACCAAAGTACAGAGAACAGAAAACATGCTTAGTTACCTAACCCAATTTTGTTGTATCATTTTCTGATTTTGACACATAATTCCTGGCTACAAAAGGAGGTTGCAGCAGCTAGATAAGAGAAAGACACCTGCTTAGGAGAACCTCTAATTGTGACTAAAATTCTTAAATACTTGAATCTGAAGAGCAGAGTTCAACTTTTCTACGTGGCGAGAACATTTCTCACTTATTTACTTTACGTGGTCTTTAAAGAGATTGCTACTTCGACTTCTCTTCCCATCATAACTTCATACTTTTTCTAGATAGGACACGTATCAGTACATCACAGTTTCTGTGGATAGGAGGGGTGTTGGAGTCAGCCCCTTCCCCAAGAGGCCCTGCACCTTCAGGCAGGGAGGGATGCGGATGAGCAGCGTCTCCGATCTGAGGCTGCAGCAAAGAGTCCGTGCACGGCTAGCACGTGGCTGAGGAGCTCAAGGGTCCAGTGACATCAGGTTTGTCGGAGCTGGCAGAGGCACACCCGGAGGTCCACCCTCCCCACGTCACGCGGGCGGCCAGGGTGGGCTGCAGGGGGCGGTGCCCTCACGCTGAGCACAAGGAGCACAGCCGCAGAGGTCTCGGTCTGCGGGGCAGATGGGAGCGCTCCCCGACGGCCGTGGTGAAGGTGCGCAAGTCCTGGCAGAAGTGGGTTCCCCAAGAAGGACGGAGAGGCTAGGGAACCCCTGACACGGCTGGCGTCCCTACCTGTGGAAAGCCTTGGTTTCAGACTTGGAAAGGAAGTCCAGTTGTCCCTGGGTATCCGGGGGGACAGGTTTCAGGACCCACCCGCAGACACTAAAACCCAAAGATGCTCAAGTCCCTTTTATAAACTGGTGTATGTAGTGTTGGCAGAGAGCCCACACACATTCTTCTTTTTATTTTATTTTAACACATTGTTTGCGGGTGGTTTTTATCGCGCGTTCTACTACCAGTCAACGTAAAACGTATAAATACGTTTCCCACATACAATGTGTTAATTGTTGTTCAAGTACAGTTTTCTGCCTTTTACTCCCAACCCAGGCCACCCCCCAGCCCTCCCCACCTCCCTCCTGTTTCCACAACCCCCTTGTTTTTGTCCATGTGTCCTTTATACTTGTCCCTGCAAACCCTTCCCCTTTTCCCCTGAAATTCCCTCCCCTCTCTCCTCTGGTCACTGTCAGCCTGTTCTCTATTTCAATGTCTTTGACTATATTTTACTTGTTTCTTTGTTTTGTTGTTTAGGTTCCTGTGAAAGGTGAGATCATATGGTATTTGTCTTTCACTGCCTTTCTTGTTTCGCTTAGCATAATGCTTTCCAGCTCCATCCAAGCTGTTGCAAAGGGTAGGAGCTCCTTCTTTCTTTCTGCTGCATAGAGTTCCATCGTGTAAATGTACCATAGTTTTTTTGATCCATTCATGGGCTGATGGGCACCTAGGTTGCTTCCAGCACTTGGCTATTGTAAATTGTGCTGCTATGAACATCGGGGTGCATAGGTTCTTTTGGATTGGTGTTTCAGGGTTCTTAGGATATAGTCCCAGCAGTGGAATCGCAGGGTCAAAAGGCATTCTTTAAACCATCTCTAGATTACTTGTAACACCTAACACAATGTGAATGCTACTGTGTTGTTAGGCGATAAAAAGAAAAAAGGTCTGAACGTGTTGAGTACAGACACAACCCGCACAGGGTTGAGTACAAGATGCGCGTCAGCAACAACGCGCCGTCTTCCCACGTGTCTTCCATCTGTCCCGGTCGAACCGCAAACACAGACAGCTGACTGCTCACTACAGTAGCTGGGTGGTTTGACCAGCTGGGGGCCCCAGGCCGATTACACATTTGGGATGTGGGCGCCCTTCCTTTGCCGCTGGATCTGAGTACCTTGGCAGATGGTATGTTCTGGACGATGGTGTGATGGGGAGGGGGTGGGTATGGAGATGACACGGGGCCATCAGGAGGATATGCAGTCAGTGACTGTTTTCCAGCTATGACATAAACAGAGCCCGGAGAACACTGGCTCTTCGAAAGACCCCCCGCCACAGTGTGCACTGCCAGGATGACGCTCATCTTCCCAGTGACCAGGGACGGGGCATCTCCAGGGTGAGCAGCACTCGGACCTCTGGTGGCCTGCTCTGCCTGGGTCTAGGCAGCATGTCCCCAGAGGGGCCAGCTCGTCCTGGGGAACAGCAGGAAGTGGAGGTTCAGGTGGCCAAGGGCGCACATTTCTCAAGCCCTTGCTCTGAAGGGGTGACAGTGAAGAGAGGTCGGCAGGAACGAGGAGAAGGGGACTGCTATCCTACAGACGCGTCTCAACGCTTGTGCCAAGACGTGTAGGCTCGTAAAGGTCAGGGGCTTTCCAGGCCTCTTCAGAACCCCTGTGTTGGTGGTGTTCTCAAACCTTTCACGTGGAACCCCTCCAAGCACTCCTACCTGGGGCGGGCAGCACAGTGAGCTTCCCCAGGAGTCAGAGAGGCGGGGGTGGGAAGCACAACGGCCTTCCAGGACGTGCTGCTTCTGAGGGCGGTGCTCGGAGCCTGGCTCCCCCCGCCAGCTGTGTGGGCACACAGGTGTGCTGGCTGTGACAGCTGCCGGGCAGATGAGGCAGTGGGAGGACACTGGGCAGCTGCATCCTCTCCCCAGGTGATGACACGTGGAAGTCCCAGAAAGGAGCAGGTCTGGCACCTGGCCTGGGTTCTTGCCCCTGAGAGACGGGGCCAGGTGAAAGGTTCCCAGCTCCCATGTACACGTCAGTGGGTGGGCGGTGGGATATACCTCCCACCTTAATCCATTCAAAGAGCAACACCAGAAGTCATGTCCTGGGGGCACGGGAGGAAGGAAGGTTTGAGCTAGTTATGTGCACCAAAGCTAAGTGGGACCTGAAAGCCGTGAGACAGCCAAAGATGTAAGATGATCCAAATAAGCAGGTAAACAGTGTCAAAAGGAGGGGAAAGACACCTGGGAGAATTCATGAGCTCCAGTGAGGGGCAAGAAATGACCCACGTGTGGCCTTTTATTCATCACTGTCCCCAGGGCCTAGGGCAGTGCCTGGCAGACCGTGGCGCCCATTAAACACTCGTTACAGGAGGTCTGCAGGCTCAGGGCCTTACTAGGAGTGGCAGGATCAGGACACAAGGAAAAGCCCTGAGACTGCAGGTGGTCTTGTAAAAGGCCCGTCAGGGGCAGATGAGCCCCACCCTTTAGAACAGGGGTCGAACTTCTTAAAAGACCAGTAGTGAGTCTTTCTTCCATTCTCCGACGGAAGTATGACTGTTCTGTAAGTATTACCCAAGTGAACAGCCCTCGCTGTGTTACAGTGAAACTTGATAAAAACGGTGGCTGCTATGCGCTGAGTTCGCTGAGCCCTGCTTTGGAACAGTCATTACGAGCAGTTATTTCCCCGCATTCCTTTGTGAAGGTGACTCCCTGCCCGAGCCCCTCACGCGGCGGGGCCAGCATGACGGCCGGGAGGTGAACACCTGTGTCTTGCCTTGGTGTCTCTTCAGTTTGGTTCTGCTGGAACACATAAGGGCCTAGTGGGAAAATGTGTGATAATAGAGGGCAAGCATTTTTCCAGGGGAAACCTTTTTGTTTTTATTTTTTAAAGACCTTACTGGATGTGAGAAAAGATGTTCAGACATGGTTGCTGTTCCTCAGGAATTTTTTGTTTAAAGAGAAATAAACAGACCTGGCTGGTGCAGCTCAGAGGCCTGAACGCCTGCCTGTCAGCAAGCCAGAAGGTGGCCAGTTCAGGTCCTAGTCGGGGCACGTGCCTGGGAGTTGGGCCGGGCCCCCCAGTTGGGGGCGCACGAGAGGCAGCAAACCAATGTTTCTCCGGCACATGGGTGTTGCACATCACTGTTTCTCTCCCCCTCTTTCTCTCCCTGTCCCTCTCTCTAAAAATAAATAAAATCTTTCAAAAGAGAAATCAACAAACAAAGTAAAGGGAGAAGAAGACTAAGTAGAAGCACATTTTTCAATCCAAGATCCTGGAGACTGAGTTTTACCTTCTGAACCAGGTAGACACTTGTCGCTCGCTGCGCAGCCACCTTATCCAGCTCGGAGCCCTCGGGAACGAAGTAGCTGACGTCGGCGATGTGCACTCCCACCTCGTAGGCGGCGCCTGTAAGGCACGAGAAGGTCCTTCAGCCTGGTCTGGAAGGCAACGGTGCTCCCTCCCTCCCAGACACTCTTCCCACGAACGTGTGTCACTCTCAGAGGCCACAAGTGGCCCTTTGCAGCCTCGTGGGGTGCTCCCCCTGCCCACCCGTGTGACTTCACTGTTGCTACCCGATGAGATTTTTATCCCCAACAAACATTAGCCTTTTTCACGAACGGTTCCCGTTTCTAAAGGCTTCTGGTCCCTGAGGAAACGTCCGCAGACTTGCAAAAGGAGACGCATGTTGGGTGATGAACAAAGCCTTTCAGGTCGCTAGAAGCAAGTTAACCCCAAACCCCACAGAGTCTGCTTTTGCGAGCCCCACCTGTCCTGGCCTTCGGGCCACAGTCCTGCCGGTGCCCTGCTGTGCTGAAGCAGTCCCCTCCGGTCCCGCTTTCCACACTGTGGCCGGTCACCTCCTTAGGCATGGATCTGGTGCTGTCACTGCTCAGCCTGCTGTTCACGCCCGCCCCCGGGTCCCCCCCCCCAACCCCGCTGGCCTGACGACCTGGCCTTCCCCGTGCTCTGTGCGCATCTGTCCCGGCGAACCTCCTTCCATCCCCACAACGCACCCTACCTCGCCCTGCTCCCCTGCCGGCTTGGCTCCCGCTCCTTCTGACCCTGGGGTGATCTCAGCAGGCTCTGTCTCCCCGGGCCCTTCGCATCTTGTATGGGCAATGGGAAGAGAGCCCCAGAACGAGAGGAGCCCCTCTGCCCTCTGCGGCCTCCACCTGCGCCGGGAGAGCCCCGCGACCGAAGATGCTCGCCTCGGCCCTTCCTTTGCGGGTCTCATCACCGCCAGGCACCATGGCGTACCTGCACCGGGCTGTTCCTCCAATGTCTGTCTCCCTCCCTACAGTGTAAGCTCCAGAAAGGCAGGGCCTTTTGTGTCGAGTTCACTGTTGTTGGCCCAGTGCCTAGAAGAGTGCCCGACACATACATAGTAGGCACTCAGTAACACCTGTTGAGTGAATAAAGCGATAACGGGTTTGCCCGTTGCCTTTCCCCTTCTGGCCGAAGACCCCGCTTGCTCTGCCTCTTGAAACGGCCTGTCCCTGGCCAGCGGAGCCGGTTCTCAGCAGGCTCCGCCTTCCCTGTCAGCCCCACCCGAGGCGGGCAGGTGCTGTGGGCCAAGGGGATGGCACCGGAAGCTGGGCTGGGGGCCAGGGAGGTTATAAATTTCAGATTTACTCTTGAACAAGCAAATCATCTATCAACTATGTATATTTAGTTATACACACACAAATATATACAAAAATGCACAAAATGGACAGAATATAAAAAAAGCGCATGTAAAGTAAGTGTGTAGTTTGAAGAGAGCATCGTGGGAGACAGAAGCACACTGACGATACGAGCACGAAGGCGAATTCGATTACATTTAAGTACATGCTTGATGTACCGCACCCCGCCCCTGTTCGTAGTGGCCGGCTGAGGCACAGGCACGTGACTCAGTAGGTCTGTTCTGAGTCCGTTTTCAGGGATCGGTACGGACTTCAAGGAGAGGCGCGCTCTCTCAGGACCCCGGAGACAGTGAGGACCACTGTAACTCTGGAACTGCCGAGGAAATGTCTCGCCCCAGAATCATTCTGACACAGGAAACAAACAGGTCTAAGGAATGGAGGGGAAATCACGAGACCTCACTGAAACCTCAGGATCCGGCTGCCTTGCAACTAGCCTACCTGTGGACTGGGCCATGCCCGAGTCCATCAACCCTTTTGGTCGAGAGGACCTGCGGAAGGAAACCTGACGCCCGAGCTGACTCAGAGGTTTGCTAACACAACACCACTCCTTCCTCTGGCTACCAGGATAATTGGCCCGAAGGTAGCACACACTTAATCTGCAGATCTTGTGGCTATTTTATTGTCCTCCTATTTCTTCTTTACTGGGGGATGATTCTTCCCTCAGTTTTTAAGGTGGGAAGATGTCTAAACGCGGGGTAGTTACAATGAGAGCGTGCGGGGAGGAAAAGCACGGAAGATGCCCCATGCTGCAGGCGTCTCCCACTCCGGGCGGGGCCACCTCCCACGGGGCGTTCCCGGGTCTGCCGCCCAGCCTGCGCCCTCAGTACATTAAGGAAAACCCGAGTCCATCCGAGAGACCCTGGCTGCTCTGGGACAACACGAGAGACCCGTCCCCCCTCCGGGGAGAGGGGTGTCTGCAGAGCCAGGAGGAAGCAGTGCAGCTCGGAGTTCAGCGGCCTCACCCCGCTCCGAGAGCCCCGCCTGGCGCTGCCGGTCACGGCGAGTAGGGGGCCTGCCCTGCGGTGCTCGAGGAACTCGCCCCAGGAGAGTGTGGCCAAGAGTCTCAGGCGGCTCAGCTTCCAGGTCTGACACTACCAGTACTGAAAACCAACACTCGAAGAAGGTAAAATAAAGTATCTTCTTTTGAAGTCAGAATGATAACATATGGGCCTAACAGGTAAATATTGACTAAAGGAAAAGAGAGGTTTATTACATCATGATATGAACCATAACTTTAAGTTCAGTCTGTGTGTTGTTACTACACATGAACTTTCTGTCCTCAGTCAAAACTGACAAACTGACAAAGGTTTCATTACGGGAGATACAACATGAAGGAAGCCAATCAAAACATATTTGAGCGGCTTAAATTTCACTAAGAATTCCCAGCAGAGCCTCTAAACCCAGCAGAGAGAAGCTCTCTTACTCTCTCCTTTGGACCTTTTTTATGGAAACCCTAAGTAAATATTTTACTACATATATTTACATAATGTGAACTTGCAGAACTCTTGAGGTAGTTGTACCGTAGTTTTTCTTCTATGAAAGAGAAAATATAAATCTAAAAGGTTATAATTTGATGTTCTAAAAAATACTGTCTTCCTATAAAAACATCACATTTTTTTAATTACACTAAAACATCTTTATCTCCTGGGCTAAGGCGAGTCCCGGGAGTTCTGAAGAGCTGTGGACGATGCAGAGGGAGGAGGAGTCCCAAGGCCAGCGGGCCGGCCACCCGAGCACGGGCCCCGCAGCCCTGGGGGAGCACGGACGCCCCTCTGAGGGATGCGGGAGGACATCGGAAGGGCTTCATCTAATCCAGACACTAACAGAGCCCAAAGGAGGGGCTGAAGAACCATCTTCCATGCCAGCCTCCGGCCCGTCCGGCCACTCCCCAGCAGTGTCCCTGCTCGGCCCCTGACAGAGCCTCACTGGGGTGGGGCTCACGTTTTGAAGCCCCTGCTCTACTTCTGATGAGCTCTGGTGCGAGAAAGCACCTCCGCATCCAGACCCTGGCGCGCAGACACGGGCCCTGGTTTATTTCAGCGTGGACCTCCGTGAGGGGCGGTCCCTCTGCTACAGGAGTGCCCAGTGCGGTGGGGTGGGCAGATACACCGGTGTGGTGACGACACGATGCTCCTGGTGCTCTGAAACAGGAAGGCCCCAAGGCCTCTCTGCGTGGGAGAGCCTGCGCTGAATTTGGGTTTACTTCCATGAGAACGTGTGAAACGTTTCACGCTCTGTAACTGCGTTAAGTGCGATGCTGGCAGTGATGCCCACAGAACTGAAAGTTCGGACAGCAACAGCGACCATCTCCTGAATGTCTCCTTTGTGCCAGGCCCCATCCCCACCCCCACGTGGCTCTGGCAACAGCCGTGTAAACCGCAGTTCACAGATGAACTACCCGAGGCTCAGAGAGGTTTCAAGCCACTTGTCCAAATTTACCTGGCTGGTAGGTAATAAACCAGGGAGTCAGAACCAGGTGGGGTTCAGAGCCTTTGCTCCTTTTATTACCAACCCCCACCCCTGCCGCTGTCACCTTAACTCTAGGATGGGCTACAACCCCATTGTTCGTCTCAGGGGGCCACAGCTAGAAATGCCCCCCTACCTCTTGTGACTCAAGAAATGCTACGTCCTCACCATGCAACCAGAAGTTCCACGAGGGACCCTCCCCAGCCTCGTCCACAGCCACATCCCTGACCCTGCAGAGCCTCTTCTGGTTCCCACTGCCGATCTCCTTGGCCACTTGTAGCAGGGCCTGATTCTAGAGCAACCATTCAGCCATCACCTCCAGTTCTATTCAATTATAAGCCCTTGAGATCCACCGACCCCCCTTTCTAAATTTCTCACTTACGGTCATCTTTAGCCGGTGGCAGGGCGACTGTCCTATGAGAGGTGGGAGTGTCAGGCTTCCCCTGCTCTGCCAGGAGTGAGATGAGGGCCTTCCAGGCCTGGGTCACCTGAACTCCCCTTTCCCCACTGCTGAGACTGGACAGTGGTGACAGAGGCTCTTCTTGACCCCACGGGACACTCCTTTCAACCCCAAATGTGGGGGAATGATGCGGGTAGGTGTTTCATCAGCGGAAAGTAACTGTACTTGTCTAGGTCACTAATGGCCTTTGTGTCACTAAATTCACACATTTTTGGGCCCAACTGGGCCTGACCCCATAGGGCGTCTGAGACCTGGTTCTTTCTTCCTGGTCAAGACCCCTGTCTTCGGCCACGGGCCCTGCTCTGGGTGTCCACAGAGCAGGCTGCCCCTCCTTGGGCTGCATCCCCTCTGTGTCCCTTCCATGTCGACAAGCCCCCAGGTCTCTGCCCACTCTGCTCTCCCCCGGACCACCTCACCCACTCCCAGGAGTCCCAGCTTCGTCCCTGTGCTGCAGCCCCCTCCTCCTGTGCCCCCGGCGCAGACACCGCAGAGCTCCAGACTGACGCGCACGCCAGCTACTAGGAACGGCCACGTGGCTGTCCCACAGGCGCCTCGCACTCATAGGTGGGACCTCCCGAAGTCCCCACCCCAGCAGAGCCTTTTTTGCTCCTGGGCTCTCCGTTCAGGACGTGGAGCTGCCTCCACTGCCTGACCACTGCCTGACCACTGCCTGGGCCTGGAAGAAACTGGAAGGATGCGTCTACCTGCCTCCTTCAAGCACTCCGAGCTCCGCCGCCCTACTCCTCCGGGGTCCGCCCGTCTCCCCTCCGCCCACCACCCCACCCCGGCCAGGGCCA